CTCCTCCAGCCCAACCATGACCCTCCCCCTGACCATTCCCAGCTCCCCCAGATCCCTCAGTGCTGGCTCAGCCCGACTCTTCAACCCCTCCAGGGATGGGGACTCCCCCCTGCCCTGGGCAGCCCATCCCAACGCCCAACAGCCCCTTCTGCACAGAAATCCTTCCTCAGAGCCAGCCTGACCCTGCCCTGGGCAGCTTGAGGCCATTCCCTCGGGGCCTGGCGCTGCCGCCTTGGCTCCAGAGACTCATCCCCCCTCTCTGCCCCCTCCTGGCAGGGAGTTGCCGAGGGCCAGGAGGTCTCCCCTCAGCCTCCTCTGCTCCAGACTGAACCCCCCCAGTTCCCCCAGCCGCTCCCCAGCAGACCTGTGCTCCAGACCCTGCCCCAGCTCCGTTGCCCTTCTCTGGCCACGCTCGAGTCATTCAGTGGCCTTTTTGGGGTGAGGGGCCCGAATATCCATATCCATGTATCCATAGAGACTAAATAATATTCCTAAATACTTTTTAAGCAATGAGGCAGCTTCTTGTTTGCTGTTTACAAATGCTGCTCACAGCAAACTCTCCCTGCTCCCCAGTACAGCACCTTGGCCTTTTCAGGCTGGCCCCAGTGTACGATGTATAAAGAAGCAAATGGTTTTCATAAGTAAATAAGATGGAGATTAATCGGTTAAAATTGTAAACATGTAAATAGCAAAATGAATTCAAGATTTGCTTGTCACTGCAGTCAGACAAAGAAGCAGGTAAGGAAGATTAACCGAGCCGTGAGTCTGAAGAAGCAGAAGATGAAATGGAGAGTAAAGCACATACTTTTGTGCCAGCTGGACTTTAATGAACAAGCCAGACTGCCCAGGACTGAGAACAGAACAGTTTTGGGGCACAACCTGTTGGTAAAAAAAAGAGGTTGTTACTTTTGTGTGCGCGTGTCCATTCCAGGAATATTTCTGAGCTGCCATCTGAAGCTCCACTTGTCATTAATAGACTGAAATGAGTTTTCAGTGGTTGGTCATTACAAAAGGCTGTAAATTACTTTTTTTTTTTTTTTTCCTTGGGCAAAATAGAAAGTATTTTGCAGCGTTAGGTGTGTATCTAGATGGATTTGGATTTAGAATTTTGTATAGAGGGAAAGAGTTTGGCGTTTCTGAATAATTCTGCAAGCTCTTTTGGTCTGCCGGCACTCTTCCTGACTCGAAATGACTTTGGTTTCTTTAGAACAAGTCATGTAATGTTTCATACGTATGTATGGGTGTACTACACGTATATAATTACAATTGTTTTTCTATTTAAATTTGTGGTTTGGATAGGGTTTAACTTATTCTTGTGTATTCATGGAATATTTGATTAAGCTTCAGGTATCTGAAAAAACAGCACGGTTTTATCCTAGGTTGCTTTTCCCTCATCTTCTTGGCAATCTCCTTTTTACTTTGTCTTTCGAGGTCACGGTTCTGTGAGCCATGAGCTCACCCCCTTGGTACCAGCTCCCTCGGCCACACAGAGCCACGAGCAGACACAGTTGTCTCTCCTCTCAAGCCACCTAGAAAAGGAGTTTCTGGGGCTGGTGTTAGCAGAGAGCTGGCCTCTGAAATCTGGCCAGTGCAAATAAACCCATTCTGATGTCAAACCCACCTCTTACAAAACCTCTGAAAACCAAATTTGAGCAAAAAGTTTTCCCCAGATCAGGCTGTGTCGGATCAGCAGAGCTTCGGGGACGATGTCCCGTTTCCCTGGGCTGTGGCACGGCTCCGAGGGGGCCGACGGGTCATTCACCAGATGTTATTGGTCATTTAATGCTTCTGTTTCAATGTTTGTTAAATTCTTAGCAGGCTTCATCACCCGTTTTGTCTTTAGAAATAAACAGAGAAATGGGAATATTTTACGCAGGGTTTACGGGCAAGTCACTTTTTCTTTTATCAGATTCGTGGGGGTTTCTAATTACTGTGTGCGTGAAATTTTCGGATGGCATCTAAAGGATTAAGGCACATTTTATTTCTGAAGTAACATTTCAAATTATTACTAATACAGACAATGAATTTCAGTGAAATCATCTGTTTTGACCGTATATTCTGCCTATGACGGGCAACTCTGATTTTTAAAAATTCTTTTAAAATCGTATAAAAATCACTTCGGTTGAAGAAGAGGGGGAGAGAGAAGTCAGATCATCTTTTTGGCAACTGAGATCAGCAAAACTGTAACATGAAACTTCACAGTCATCCCTTGGGAGTTTGATTTTTAAAATAAACCCATCTCGCTTTGTGAATACTCGTAGTTTCCCACCAGTCTAATCCATCCAGAGGAGCGTCTGGTTGAGCGGTGAAAGGACTCACAAAACCCACCTGACATGGTTCCGTGTTTAGTGCAGCTCATAGCAAGGTTGGCAGGAGCTGCTCTTCTTCACCGTAACGTCCCTGGGAGCTGCATTTGCTTTGTCAAAATAAAATCTCACCCTGGGATTCAGAAGTGCTTGTGAAATACACGTGCACTGTAAGATCTCGTGGAGCGACACAGAAGCGGTTTGCCTGCAGTTTTGTCACCTGAGAATCGTATTAGCACGTCATATTTAGTGTGTATATTAGGAATATTTTCTCACCAGATTCTAAGATTATTTTGGGGGGGGTCAAATTCACCTAAAAATGTAACTCTTAAGGTGAGGAGAACACGGATGATGGCACGTCTCTCGGGACATCTGTGACTGAAGCCAATTCTCCATACGAGCAGGAGTTTACTACTCCATGCAGATGGTGCTCCCCTGAGTTGTCTGCGCCATCACCAAATCCTTAACTTCTCCAGGAAATCCTCGTGCCATCAGTCTAGCAGTTATCCTGCAAGGACATCTTCTAGCAAATTCTTAAGTTACCATCTTGAATGATATCATCCGTTGGAACAATAACGGCCAACTCACTGAAGTTATTTTTACTAAAGAAGAGAGTATTTCTTTGTAACGGAGCATTTTAGGCTGCGTTACAAGTGGGGTTTTTTCTGGCATGTGCTGTTGTAAAATATATTCAAGGCATTGCTTAGACACGGCACTTAGCACAGGCTTACACTAATGTACACTGACATTACACCTTCTCTTTGTAGACCAAGCCACCCTAGTAGAGCAAGTGAAACGAGTAAAAGAAATTGAAGCTATTGAAAGTGACTCCTTTGTTCCACAGACATTCAGATCGAGTAAAGAAGTCAAAAAGGTAAGTTTTCAATATCTTTTCTTGGTGCATAATCTTTCAAAGTCGGGTAGAAGCTGCGCTATTAATAGAGATTCCATTGATGAAAGAGCATCGATGTTGACAATCTTAAAGCCCACCAACCTCTCTCCTGTGTTCTCGGTGTGGTGTTCAAACAAGGTGTTTAAACATGCAAGAATTTCAACAAAATCAGCTGTTTTCACTGTATATTCTGCTTATGCTGGGCAACTCTGATTTTTAAAAATTCTTTTTAAATCATAAAAAAACATGAGGATTTTTTTAGAGAGAGCAGAAATTAAAATCCAGAAATAATCGTTTACGTTGCAATTAAAGGCAGAGATCAGTATTTTTAATTCTGCTTGACTGAAGCCAGACTTGAAGACCGTATTTATTCCCTGAAGCAAACCAGCATTGCTTTCAGTCTGCCCTCCAGAAACCTGACGTGAGACACCCGGGTTTCAGCGTTTTACCTGCAGCTTGGCTGCCGACCCTTCGAGGGAACTCGGACACTTTGCTCTTTGGAAGCACGCAAGCAAAGGTTTTGTTCAGTTTTTCCATCTGACAGCGAGGTGGTTTGAATTATCACTCTTCTGTTTCCCCCAGAACATGCATTTTCTTGCCTTTTCAGAAGTCTCCGAGAAATTCCTGCAGCTTTTTCAGAATGGGATCCAAAACCCCAAAGCTACGGCTCCACGAGTTCTCTCGCTGCCTTTGGCGATAACTTTTTTTTCACTTTGTGTGTTTAGTCTGGATCTTAGTCCAGACTTAGTGTCCTGCTAAGCACGCTGAGAGGTTTTCTGGGCACGTGCTGCAATGGGAAGAAAGCCGAGTGCTCGGTTAAGGACTTTGAGGATAAAACACTCAGATATGTCTCTTTGTTTTTTTAGTCAGCAGAGCCTATTGAACTACAGTACGAACCTGTAACTATTGGAGCGGGAACTGCTGATGCATCTGCTCCTGAAAAAGAGCCACCGCCTGCCAATATTCCTACTGCCATCAAATATCAAGATGATAATTCTTTGGCGCATCCAAATGTAAGTGTGCGGATATTTCCTTTCTCTTTAGAACAAGGCAGCCCATGGGACGGGAGCAGGTTCATGTCGCCTAACAACCATTTTGCTGGGCTGCTCATCCCATAATGTGTGGTCTGAAGACTGGGAGCTGATGGGCCTCTCACTGGCTCAGAAAGGCTCAGCTCCTTGCGCCATCCAACATCATCCAACGGAGAACGAAAGTTCATCAGCGATAAAGTCTTAGAGTCACAAACAGATTTTACAACGGAGTAGCGTGCTAATTTAATGCAGGGGAATTTAAGATCCTGTTTGTATAAAAAGTCCTGTTCGATAAAAATTGAGGGAAAAAAAAGGCTTTTGGTTTCTGTAGTTGGAAGCCTGGTGGAAGACTCAAAACTTGCCAAATCATAAAGCTTTAAATACATCACAAACTTGAAGATAATTTGAAATCATTGTGGCTAAACTTATGCAAATTCCTTTGGGAGCACTTGTAATGGGAAATAGGATTATTTACAGTAGAGGTTTTTTTAAGGATTATCAAGTTAAAAATGACTCGCAGTAACTGAACTGATGTGAGTTTTGTCTAATGACACAGCTAACGAAGGTCAAGGGCGGTGTGATACGGCGAACTGGCTGTTTCGGGAGACTGAAATTGGGAAGTTTTGGCTTTTCAATTATTCAGTACCTAACTTTACTAGTGTATTTGTTATCACCTCTGTGCTGTAACAACCCCTGTGCCGCTGGGCTTGTTCTTTGGGCGCTGAAGTAGTCGGCATATATTTCACCAGATTGTAACAAAGAGAAAGTTAATGAGTTGTGCCTGCTTTTGCCCCTCTCGCCCTTGTCTCTCAGCTGTTCATCGAGAAGGCAGAAGCAGAAGAGAAGTGGTTTCAGAGGCTGATTGCTCTTCGGCAGGAGAGGCTGATGGGCAGTCCTGTGGCCTGAGCCAACCGCTGGGACTATCACATACCAGTTCTCCACGAATGCTAAGAAATCTTACCATTAAATTGTTTTATTTTTCTCTTTAGAGGGGATTTTAATACTTGGTGTGAGTTGTACAGAGAATAAATATTTCGTTTGCGTAAACAAGAACGTTCTATCCTCTGTTTTTCTCCCGAACTCCTTGCTGGGTGACTCGTACTGCTGAGCAACCCGCTGTGGATGGGAAGGCCATCAGGGCAGTCTGATTTTCTTGGGGTTTTGTGCCGAATTCCTCCGGGGTGCAAAAAATCTGACAGCCCAAGGAGATGTAATTTTACCCTTCCCAATCCAAAAAAATACATATAACCATGTAGCAGCGTAAAGATAAATGACAAGGCTGTCAAAGAACGTTCAGGAGCACAGCGATACCACCCCGGGCCGTTACATCTGCTGCAGCTGGGGGAGGATTTAGGGCCAGTGACACCACTGTTACCTCTCCTTCCTTCCACTCCAGCAGCTTGTGAATCCCAAAGGTCTGGGGACAGTCTCCTTGCTGAGGGGCTCTTGGAAATGGGTGCGTCCCCCCACCCGCTCCAGCCTCAGCCTGCTTCCTCTCTCCTGGTGGGCTCAAGCAAAAAAATAGATGTTTTATGTTTCCTTGAACATCTGCCCACTCCTGTTGGCATCCGGGAGTAGATGTAAGGAAAAAGTTATGTTCTCCTTTTAAACAAAACCGTAAAGTTTTCAGCAGGTTTCAAGAAATATTATTTTCCGAGCAGTTTTAAGCACATTAAAATGTTCAATAATCTGGAAAGGGCAGCTTTCTATGAACTCTGAATGGGAAATAAGTATTATTGTGCATAATGGTACAGACCTTTGTTGAACAAGACCAATGGCACCTCTGTTTCTGTACAGAACAACTCTTTCCAGCCTACGACGCTTCTATCTGACTAGGTGTGACTTTAAATAATGAAAGATTAGTCCTATCTGAACACAGCAAACTTACCCCGAGTATACTTACAAAAAAATATCTGTTATCCAACTAAATGCCAGAGATCAACCAAATAAAATGCAAAAGTATTTCTTCCGAGGTATCGAGCAAAGCTGTGAGAAAACTATTACTTCAGTAGAAGCCTAAACTGAGCCCCCCTGCCCTGCCCTGGACTTTCCTCACTGGAAATTACCTGCATCAGCTTTCCTGTGCGAGTCACGGAATCCGTAAGGTGGTTTTGAAGTGTTTTTCTCCTTGTTCTTAGATCTATGGAGGGGAAAAAAAAAAAAAGGGATGATTCTAGAAATGTACTTTGGTTTTCTTAATAGTTTTAGATCACCAGTGTAAAAGGAAAATGTATTACATTTGCATTTAACACATTTTTACTTTATGAACAGTGTTAGTTTTACCTGGTCCTGCATTAAAAGGGCTATTGGTGTTCAAGAGTACCTTGTCTGCAGCAAAAAGTGAGGGGGGGGGGGAAACGTTTCCCTTGTTTGATTTCAGCATTTCTGAATGATAAATATTTGTCATCATTGTGTTTTCTAATTTTCTTCTGTGTTTCTTTCACGGTAAATAAAAACTATGTGATCTCCATGTAAGGTACAGGTGTAAATTCCTCTTTTTTCACATTATGTTGGATAATTTTGGTATTTTTATCGGATACAAAATGATTCCTTTTATGTAATTCACGGCCCTATAGGATATTCAAAAATTCTACGAACTGGTCTGTCATTAGAAAATAAGATTTAGTGGAAATAGTGGGGTTGTACCTACTATTGCTTATCAATCGGTAACTAAATTTTGCCAGCGAGTCTACGCTGGGGGAGAATTGTGAGCAAGATCTGGAAAGAAAATGGAAATGGTGTTTAGATAATCTGAAGAGAGATATGTACTGAAATATGCCAAACGTAATTTGAAACATGGAGCAAATCATTATGAAGTTGATTTTTGTAGTTCCAGTTCCAGATTAGTGATGAGAATAAGCAGTAAACACTCAGAACTCTTGTAGTTTGCATGAAACACGTAACTTGTTTATTGCCCCCGTGTCTGTGTGGGGACAGTCTAAGAGTTTAAGTGGGTTTTTCCTGGTTTAGGCCCTGTATTCTGTCACCCTATCTCAATTCCTTCACTGAACGCTCATTACGCATACTTGAAGTTTATGAAGTTGGTGTTGGGAGATGAAGGAATGCCAGGGTGGAGTTTTTACCTGGATACCAGTGGTTTTAAGTTAGAAAATTTACTATCCTTGTTACAAACCTGCACATTCCTGCACTGCAGAGGTCTACAGAGACCTAAAGCAAGTTGGTGACGCTCAGGTGTGTGTCCTGGAGGTGGGAGCTCACGTGGAGCTGCGTAGCAGCCTCAGCAAGGCCAGATGTTGAGTCTTGCAAGTGGGTTTTAACCGCGCCGTGGGTCCCCCGCTGTGTAAAGCCAAGGGGAATATTCAAAACCCCCGTCACCGAGATGTGGGTGGCCTCTGCAGGAGTCGCTTGCCGGGAGGCTCAGTGCTTTGTGAAGCTGAGCCCTGGGTCAGGGCCCTGCCTTGCCAAGAACCTGCCCGTCGCTGATTCCACAGCGTAAACCTTCAGCAAAAATAGATGCTGATCCGCTGCGTTCGCTCCGGCAGAGCAGAATAAAGGTTGTACGAGGCCAGTTGTAGGGTTGTAAGAGTAAGTGTTCAGACTGCAGCACTCGATTCAAGTTGCATAAACTATTTTGCTTTTACTTGAACAGCATCCTGTGATAAATTATTCATTTTCCTGTCAAAGGTAGGCAGATATTGGAGTATCAGAGATAAAATATGGAAGAAGGCAGCAACCTCAGAAATAAACTTCACTCTGTAACCAGCTATGCACAACTAAGGAGAATTTTGGCCAAGTTACTGCTGAAAATTATTTTACAGGATTTGGACACATGATAAATGGATTGTGTCCAGATACAGGGGCACCATTCCACGTGGGGGGCCTTCGTGCTTGAGGAAAACAGAGCATGTGTTACCTAATCAGCCTGATCCAGATTTAATGAACTGTGTCGTCACGCGGACATGAAACCCATATCGATGTGTACAAATTAATCACCACTAACCTGGAAAAACGCACTGCTGACTCTCTGCCCACACTTCTCCTGATCCGAAAAAAAGAATGATGCCTTTCGACAATAATCCTGCTTTCTGAGTTTCTTTGCTTCTAAGGGCTTCCGGTGTTCTCACATTTAGCATTTAGGACTCTTGCCTATGGAAAGTTTTCTTCTTGTTGTTGTATTTTCCACTTTGCTCCTGGTGAAGGGAATGGATTCCTGATTAAGGAAGGGAAAGCAGCAGCTGTTTGTTAGTTATCCAACTAAAGCCCAGGACTTTTAGCTGCGTTTTTCAGTCTGCAGAGACAGCAGTGACACGGTTTTGTCATTCAGGACTCGTGACGGGGTGTCTCTGATACAATCAGCTCTAACACAAAGTTCCTCCTAATGCCAAACTACCTTAAATCTGACTCAGACAAATGGTGTGTAGGAGTGAAAAGATAATGCTGTAACTTGAGCCACTCAGAGTTCTGGTAGTCAGCAAAGACCTCTACCCCTAGAAATTACATTAGCAAACTCATTTCACTTAGCCTGCTGAGCAGCCACCGTCAATTAAAATCAAACCAGGCTGATTTTGATTTGATAACTTTTAGGTAAAACGTTCACTTCGGCCTTTCTGATTTCTTGAGTCATTCAGCGTCTCCACAGCTATTTTTTTTTTTTTTTTTTAAGGACGGTAATTGCTTGAAAAGGAGCTGTGTTTAGTTTTTAAATTATTATTGGTACAACATTTTAGAAAGATGTTTTATTTCTAAAATTTTAGAAATATGTTTAGAAATATTTTAGAAAGATGTACTAAAATAATGGTATCTAAGGAAACACTGCCAGCCAGGAGATCAAATTTTGCTACTTCTGCTTCAGTCACTCTGAGATGAGCAGGACTGGATGATCCCGAAGGCCATTTTTCCATCAGTAACCCAAAACCAACCTTCTCGATGATTACAGTTTTCCATTTGTCAAGTTACAAGAAGCAAGTTATTTTTAGTGGAGATCCTTGAACTCTGGAAACCCGTTTCAGGAGAGATCAGCTTGAACCCATGACTTTATCCACGTATGACACAGGGCTGCGGCGACCCTTCAGCTTGCAGCAGGAATAAAAAGCTATGCTAGAAGTATTACTACTCCAGAATTTAAAATATTCACCATTTGTAATTTTGACTTAGTGCAGCATTGCCTAATTTCATTTGTCCTGATTGTTCCCTCCCCTCCTTTGTTAAGACCCAGGAAAAAAAGAGTAGCAGTGGCTGGGCGGGATTCTGTGATGCTGGGGAGCAAGACTTAGACACTGAGTCACTCTGGAATTGCCACTCCGGGGTGAGATGTGACACGATACATCTACTCTTTCTGGAAAGAAGCAGAGTTGCAGCTCAGCCCAGCGAGGGGAGGAGGGAGCTCAGTGCTAACACCAGCACTGAGCTGTGCTTTGCTTCCAGCCGGGCTCCCCCCCTGCCCCAGATCAAGGTGTGCGCCTCATCAGCTGGAAGTGGTTATGCCACAATTTAAACCCAGGTGACAAGGCAAATCGCTACTTGGCTATCAGTTTGCTTCTTCAGAAATACAACAGAGACCGGGGCTTCATGGCTGCGGGGAGAGTAATGACATGAGAAGCCTCTGGGCCCTTGGGCATCATTTTTGAACGCGCAGTTCTGAAAACGCTGTAGTTAAAAAGGTGTCGTCTCTGCTGAGCTGCCATGGCACAAATCTCGTTCCCACTAGACATCTCTGCCATCCTGGAGCAGTTGTCACACAGAACGTCAGTGGCTGTCTAGAAAGGCCACAGAAATGAGATTCACACAGTCTGAATTTGCCTTTTTTTTTCCTTCCTAACCAGAGCTGGAGTTAGGGTACCAAGGCAGAGAAGTCTCGTCGTTTTCTGTTGCCTTAGAAATCTTTTGAAATAAAAAATACTGCTCGGAAAAGCGAGCTCCAAATGTTGTCTGTGCGGCGCAGTCCCTGGGGGAGTTCCTAGGAAGGGAAAGTGGATTCTTGGGTCCGGCCCGGGCGGCTCCTGGAGCGGGGGACAACGGGAGGGACGGGCACCTTCCTCCGGACGCTGCAGGTCCCCGCATCTCGGATTCCCCTCTCACAGTTCTGAAAGGAAGGCATAAACAAACCTCATTAATTATTATTAATGGCGACTAATTACTGCTAACATTTGTAAAAATGTCAAATTGCATTTTTGGATAGCTGTTCAGTGAATTTATAAAAAAACCCCATTTTTTTTATATAAAATGTTGTCGTCCTATTTCAGTATTCATACAAGTTACAGAGCTGGGCGACTATGTGAATCGAATATATATTTAAATAAAATATTAATGTAAATGTTATTACATGTCTACCTCTAGTTGCTTGCAGTAGAACGATGCTTTTATCTGACATTTACGAACAATTTATAACAAACTGCCTTTGCCAAAGTCTCTGCACCGGGCCGACGTTACAGATGGAATGTAATCAGCTTTGTAACAACACTGTCAAAAGGCCACTTCCACTAAAAATACGCTTAAGCCTCTGGAAATTGCACCGCATCTTTTAGCCTACCTGTAAAAGAACTTAACTGTAAGAAGGAAGGCTACCTCATTTATGCCAATACATTTTAAATTTAAATAGTAACTGCTGAGCCTTACAGAACTGACTGGGGATTGAGCACTGATTGTCTGAGTCCTCTCAAATTACCTTCAACCTTGCCTCTGACATTGCTCAGCGGTACATGGAAACGCACAGCGCGGGGCTGAGCAGAGCCCCGAGCTCTCTGCTACCAGGTTTTTTTTTTCCAAAATAGTTCAGGGAAAGGACCTGTTTTTGAGATACTGTGCCGGTTCTCAGTAGTTAGGTAAACAGAGCTGAAGGTTTGCCTAGGCTTTTGGAAGGGCTGCAACAAATGTCACTAAAAGGTACTTGTGTCATAAAAGCTGGGATTTTTTTAATTTTTTTTTTCTTTAGGCGAACAGTGAAAACTCTTCTTGACAATTAAAACTGACAATTCTTGCCTTACTCATGAAACTAGTCACATTCTGAGATGTATAAATGTGACGTGGTGATAACTTGTGCATTTCAAATACTCGTTTTCTACAGGACGGATTTAAGCGTGGCTTTAATAACGTCTGCTCATCTAGCAAGATTCAGTTTTGGAGACAAAGAGCCTGAGGCAGGCAAGACCTTTGGAATGAGCTCAGTGACCTGCACACACGCAGTTCTGTCCGGACTGTGGTCACCAGTTTTAAACAGTGGAGAAATTTGCCTTCACCTTGGCGCAAACCACCTGAAGCAGGAGAGCTCGGTTTTTACTTTCCGATGGAAATTGGCTCTTGCAGGCGCTGGGTAAATCAAGCAGCTCTGGCTGCCTCGCTGATTTATAGCCCTGGGTGTGTGTCTCTATACATTTTGCTTTTTT